AATAATGTTCTTTTTTAGCAACGTCATATGACCCCTTTAATCTAAAAAAAAAAATCCTGTAGAACGTGGATCAGTGTCATGCTTTTACTTAGACATATGCAGCACTCAATACTGTAATGTTCGGATTTGTAAGGATTTAGAGAATTAATAAGTCAACAAATGAAAAAAAAAAGAACATCTGAATTTAAGAACGAATGGATAAATAGTAAGTTATTTATTACTCTGTCGTCAGGGGTCACGTGCCAGATGGATAGTGTGTTCTCTTCCACATCGTTGTTGATTGAGAGGTACGATGGCTGGTACACTTTAGTGGGCTCCAGTATCAATACCTGCACCAAAAACAAGCAGAATTAATTCTGACATTCTTTACATGCCATTAATGCCCAATAATCTTAATGCGGTGTCTATAAGTCAATACTCTTACTAGCACACAAAAATAAATAAATTGGCAGTGTTTGAGTGACTATGTTTAAATACACATTAGAAAATATTTCATTCCAGGGTTTTTATGCATGCAAACACAGTGCATGTAAATGTGAATGCCACTTCTGTGTCTTAAATGGCTTTCTCACAGTAACTGTTGTGATGTGGCAATGCAATGTGGCAACGCAGTGTAACAGTCATTGTATGAAGAGGGTTCATACAGGAAAACGGACAGATGTCACATCCTTTTTGGTGGCTTCCACCATGAAGTCCATCCAGAAGTCCACAAGCTCTTGTTTAGGGGCCTGTGGATCAGTGGTTGGTTTTGTAAAGTGCTTATAGATGAGGATGGTCTCAACCAGCGAGTGTAGATACCTGAAATACACATAAAACACAAACACTTTAATACATGAACAATAGCCTACTCTAAAAGACTACAAGTATGACTCACTCTTAACAGACAACTACATTCTCATGCTAGGATGTTGTTAGGAGTTTGCTTACCAGCCCAAGCCAAAGAAGTCCACCCCAAAGTTAGCATTCTGTCTCTAGATACGGCTTAGAATTTGTTCTAGAAATCTTCTATGCAATGTTTTGTTTACTTGTGTACTTGCCCATTTAATCATTTGCCAGAAAAAAAAAAAATCTAATTTTGTTAAAAGAAAAGTCTCAACAACAAGCTGCATAATTAAACTTTAAGACGTGGAATAGGAAAATCTATAGGTAGGGTAAAATGGGACTAACACTGGGCAATTAGATTTTATTCTCTTCTTAACCACTAGATGAGACACTAGAATAATCACAGCAGAACTTTTCTAAACATCAGCCAAATTTGGTTGATCCTGTGCTACTTTGATCTAGTATTTAAATGTTTGTTTTAAATGTTATAGATTTCTGTAGCCAATGAGAATCTATAAAATGACCAAATATATCTTCTTAACGACTTTCAGTTTTGTTCAAATTAGAACAGTTTTCAATAACTAAAGAATATGTAAAAGGATGGCAGAAAAAGCATCGCTGCTCTTATATATATTAAGGCATAATAACTGACATGATAATAAAGAGCTGGCTGAATTTTCCATTTGTTGATGTGGCATAGTGAAACTTAGATGGTTAATATCCTTTATTAAGTTGGGTGTCCACCTTAGAGATAATCACCATATTATAATAATACCATCATATTTCAAAAATATGATATTAATCATATAACTGATTTTTTTTCTAATGTAAAACCATATTAAATTATTATGGGATCTCATATTCTCAAATTTTTTTTTCCTTCTGTATTTTTAAAATTAACATTTTAATGACGGGATATTTATTAAACAAAAATAAATTCTTTAATTCATCAAAAAAGAAAATAGTACAAACAGTGAATATTTTGAACAAGTATTCCAAGCATAACTTTATTAATATTAATATATAATATTATGCAAACCATATTACTAAACATATTACACACTTTAGAGAGTGTATTCACGCATTTATACGATTTTTTAAACAAAACAAACCACTTTTATGTTTTATTTTCCCACAAAAAGTGTTGCTCCATCAATGTTTACCAAAAACATTTTTTGTTCATACACTGTGAAAAGCACATTTTCCTTGAGGTGTGTGACTTTAGCTCCATTGTACCCTAGTGTAGGTAATATAGGTAATATTAGTATATTTACTATAGTTAATTTTTTCTTTGACTTTTTCATTACTTACTGGAAATCACAATATTTAACATTTTTAAAGTTTTAATATTCCCTGAAACACAGTTTTGGTTCAAATTCAAAGTATGAGCAATAGCAATAGCGATAGTAATGTCTTAGCTAACACTAATAATTAATAGCATTTTTTTACTATTATAAATAATTTATAATTATATGATAATATATGCAAATTATTTTAAACAATGATGCATGTGAAACGTGAATGTGTGCACATACCAAATAGGAGCTTTAATTTTGAAGAGTTTCTCAGAGGCCTGGATGACTCGTGTGTTGTCGCAGGCGAGAATACTAGCCCCGAGAAAGAAACCCACATCCCAGTAACTCTGTAATCTATCCAAACTGCCCTTCTTCCCCAGGAGACTGCTCAACTTCACACCTACAAGACACAGATTAAGTGCAAATATTATATTAGGAGGCATATTAATATATGGGAGACTTAATAAGAATTAATATAGATATATATGATATGTTGGTTACTCTCTCGCTGTCTTGTATAATATATATATACACACACTACCGGTCGTTTGGGATCGATCAGAACGATTTTTAATGTTTTTTACAGGAGTCTCTTCTGCTCATCAAGGCTGCATTTATTTGATCAAAAATACAGGGGGAAAAATGTAATATTGTGAAATATTATTACAATGTAAAATAACATTTTTCTATTTTAATATAGATTAAAATATAATTTATTCCTGTGATCAAAGCTGTATTTTCAGCATCATTACTCCAGTCTTCAGTGTCACATGATCTTCAGAAATCATTCTAATATGCTGATTTATTATCAGTGTTGGAAACAGCTGCGCTGCTTCATATTTTTTGGGAAGCTGTGATACTTTTTTTCAGGAT